TCAAGGTTGCGAAGAGGAGAGATGAGCAAGAGGGATGAGATAGAGGAGACGCAGGACTTTGATAGGAGCATATTTATGCGCCTTAGTTTGCTTGTTTTCTTGCATTTATGTTGCTAGTACTTAGTAATTTTAGTACTTTAAGCTATTTTCGTGTGTTTGTAGGTCCAAAGGGCTAAAGGAGCAAGAAAGTGCATTTTGGTGCATTTTGGAGTAGTTTGGGGCATTAAATGGATTGCATATGCTTTAAACCAAGTAGATGGATGAAATTGAAGACCAAAGGAGGCTAGGAATAAATAAAGAGATGAAAAAATGAAAATGAAGAACAAAGAGTTCACATTCTTCACCAACACAACCATGTTGCCACCCATTCATTCTCCCTAATAACCCTAGTTCCACATCTAGCCGTACCCTCTATTTTTCACCCTAGAATTTCATTCGTTCATTCTATTCATCCAGCCACCCTCAACCTAATTATCTAAGCCGTCACTCCCATAACCCAAGAACCTAATTCATTCAGCCACAACTCTTCACCATTCTCTCCCAAAACCGTGCATATCATTCACCCTATTCTTCTCATCAGCCACATTCACATATCTTTCCCACCATAGCTGTAATTCACATGCAAACACATTCATTTCAGCCACATGCACATTCCCTTGCATTTCCATCTTTCCCCCTTCAATAAACAACCAACCTAGCTGTCATTGCACATGCATTCTTCATCATTGCACCACATTCAGCCATTCACACCAACACATCCCTTTGTGCCGTGCATTACTCATTCATTTCAACCATTCCACATGCTATTGCAGCCACATGCATTCCCCTTTTGCATTTCCAGCTTTCCACCAAGTTCCTAGCTGTCATATTCCCTCTTTTTCACCTATAAATAAACATTCATTGCAGCCACAAGGAGGGGGGATTCAATTCAGAAAATCATCACACAACACACCATCACAATCACACAACCAATGCCGTGTAAATCCATTCCATTTTCTGCATCTTTTCTCTCCATTGCCGTGCCTATCACTCCACACAAATCCTTAGACCTTGTGCTACAACAAAGAGGAAGAGAAGCGGGCCTAAACGTTCATACAATTCAAGTTTGAGTTGTTGGAATGTTTAGGTATTTCTTTTCCTTTGAATTCAATGTTTAATTTCAATTCTCTTTGTTTTGTACGTATGAGGAACTAAACCCCCCTTGGCTAGGGGGGATTCGAAATATATGTTTATGCTTGCATTATGATTTGATTACTTCTAATTGCATTTCATAAGTTGTGAATTCAATTTGTTTAACTATTTGATAGATAACTTATTTATGTATGTTTATTGAGAGTGCACGCTTAATTTTCATGCATGAATATGACGCTAGAATATAAGTGAGTTTCACCTAATCGTTACAAACTTATATTCACAAGTAGTGGAGGTTGCTTATAAACAATCGCGTTAAAGGAATTCTTGGCATAAGTTTCATGCGTATTCCATAGTTATGAATGCCTAGTCGATGTTTATGATTTCCGTTGAACTTAATGATCTTTGTTGAATGTCTCTATCATGCGTATTCCATAGTTAGGGACTTTGATTAGGAATAATTTGGTTGTAATGCGTATTCCATTCAATCCAATGAATCTAGGGAAATCTGAAAGTTAATTTAAGCGGATCTAATTAACTTGGAGCATTGAGAATTCATGGTTTATTGAAAAGCAATTGGAAATCGTTTTATTATGCAAGTATAACATGTGTGGAGATGAACCCCTTGGCTAGCATCCATCCATTCAATTCTATCACAAATTCATATTTACATTCTGTCTAGTTTATTAACTTGTTTCGTTATTTAAATTTTTGTCAAATCAAAACCCCCCTTTACTTTCTTGTTCTTTAGTGTTTAAATTTATGTTTTAAAGTGTTTTGAATCAAGTCATAATCTTAAATGCGTCCAAAATTGGGTTTAAGGCCAGAAACTGCCTAGTTAGTGTTTTTAGGCAGTTTTGAGTCTTTTGAACTTGTTTTGAGTCTTTTGGTTTGTCTTAGTGTTTTAAAGTTTAGTTTTGCATTCTTTGAGTCTAGTATAGTGTTTTATATCGTGTTTTTACGTTTTTGAGTCAAATCCAAGTGATTAACAATCCCTCCTAATCCCCGGTCCAGAACGATCCCTACTTATATATCTATACTACAATTGTCAAAAAGAGGGTTTAATTTGTGTGCGTATAATTCTCGCATCAGACTTGAGCGAGAGGAAAAGAGGAAAGTCTTTTCCTGCAATTTGATTTGGAATTTAAGCGAGAGGAAAGTCTGCAATTTAAGCAAAAGGAAGAGGAAAAGAGGTCTACAATTTGAGGAAAAGAGGTCTACGGAAAGAAAAACCGAGAGGAAAAGAGGATAGGATATATGGTTGCAAAACTTGGAAAAATGGAAAAAAAGCGCCTATTTTTCGCTATGGACCGCCAAAATTATCAATTCGCGTGACGTAGGTATACAATTCGACGTCACGCAAAGTGGTTTTGCGCGACGATTAAAGCGTCGCGCAAGGTTTTTTTTTTTTTTTTTTTAAGTATTAAAAAAATTACCAAAAATGTGACTTTACTCCTTTCAAGTTCAATTTTTATTTCACATAAACCCCACAATAATATATTATTCTAAAAAAAACCCATAATAATTTTTTTTACATATATATCATTCAATTTCTTAAGTGTTATAAGTACAAAATAAATAAATTAAAATCTACTTAGTAAATACATATACCATTGCACTTGATGGGAAACACATTGTACGAAACTAGTTTCAACGATCCAACCGTCAAACTTGTTTGTATATGCTTCGAGATCGCATACGCCAAAAATAGGAAAAAAAAAACATTTAGAGATCAAGTAACGCGACAAAACTTTTTGACGGTTATAAATGAAAAATAACGATTTAACGGTAGTTCTAACTCCGATTTTGATGATTTTTTTACAGCTACACTCCTTGACCCTATATGAATACAATGAACTAATTCGATCGTCAATTTAAAGTATTTACACAAGTGGATACCACAAAATCTTATGTTATACTTAATGAAAGTATTAATAAACTCTAAGTGTTAGTAAATCTACCATTTTGATGGGAAACACATTGTATGAAACTAGTTTCAACGATCCAACCGTCAAACTTGTTTGTATATGCTTCGAGATCGTATACGCCAAAAATAGGAAAAAAAAAACATTTAGAGATGAAGTAATGCGACAAAACTTTTCGATGGTTATAAATGAAAAATAACGATTTAACGGTAGTTTTAACTCCGATTTTGATGATTTTTTACAGCTACACTCCTTGACCCTATATGAATACAATGAACTAATTCGATCGTCAATTTAAAGTATTTACACAAGTGGATACCACAAAATCTTATGTTATACTTAATGAAAGTATTAATAAACTCTAAGTGTTAGTAAATCTACCATTTTGATGGGAAACACATTGTACAAAACTAGTTTCAACGATCCAACCGTCAAACTTGTTTGTATATGCTTCGAGATCGCATACGCCAAAAATAGGAAAAAAAAACATTTGGAGATCAAGTAACGCGACAAAACTTTTCGATGGTTATAAATGAAAAATAACGATTTAACGGTAGTTTTAACTCCGATTTTGATGATTTTTTACAGCTACACTCCTTGACCCTATATGAATACAATGAACTAATTCGATCGTCAATTTGAAGTATTTACACAAGTGGATACCACAAAATCTTATGTTATACTTAATGAAAGTATTAATAAACTCTAAGTGTTAGTAAATCTACCATTTTGATGGGAAACACATTGTACGAAACTAGTTTCAACGATCCAACCGTCAAACTTGTTTGTATATGCTTCGAGATCGCATACGCCAAAAATAGGAAAAAAAAACATTTAGAGATCAAGTAACGCGATAAAACTTTTCGACGGTTATAAATGAAAAATAACGATTTAACGGTAGTTTTAACTCCGATTTTGATGATTTTTAACAGCTACACTCCTTGACCCTATATGAATACAATGAACTAATTCGATCGTCAATTTAAAGTATTTACACAAGTGGATACCACAAAATCTTATGTTATACTTAATGAAAGTATTAATAAACTCTAAGTGTTAGTAAATCTACCATTTTGATGGACGTTTAGGTACGGATATTTCAGTACACTAATTTAGTGAAATATATTATGATATGGACGTTTACCAATATATTTCAGTACACTAGTTCACTACAATATATTTCAGTACACTAGTTCACTACAATATATTTAGATATGGATATTTCAATACACTAATTTAGTGAAATATATTTTGATATGGACGTTTAGGTACACTAATTAGAGGAAGTTAAATAAAATTAATGAATTAAAATGTGTATAATAATAAATTTAAAATTTAATGCAATGACATTAAATAAGATATCTATAAAACAAAAATATAATATGAGTTTGAATTCAGTACACATTAAGAGACTAAAATCAATATACAATCTGACACCAGATTTTTATTAAATTTTAATCGTCTTAAAAGATTAAAGTTCAAAAATACAATTCTGGACTTGCCAATCTATTTGTTTACTAACAGATGGAATTGAAAAAATTTAGCTTGTTAGTTACTAACACGTGGATCAGGAATTTTAACCAATTCGAAGGCTCGTTGTTTGCATATTCATTTGTTCTTTTCATTTTCATTCCCAGATTCTAAATTTCTCTTGTTTCAATAAGTAAACGTTGCAAAATATTATTCTTAAAGGTGCGAACGAGATAAACCATCCATAGATGTAGGTTTTAAAGTGTAAATAAGGTGTTGAAGGAATATTGAATGAGGTTGCATGAAAGCATGGCGAAAACATTGTCAAGATCCAAAATTCTGGATGAATTTCTAAACATCGAGCAACCGATATAGTTCCAACCAAAATTGGATACAAAATTTTTACTATGAATACATTTATAATAACCTAAACGTTGCACAAAATTTGCACCATAGAAACCGCCTTCATCTATCTCCCTTAACGTCCGCGATGCAAGGCCGCCATACCTGCAATCAGTGAGCGAGCGAGTGAATTCCCGAAGCACCAACATTAGTAATCTATTACCAAAAAAACGTAATGGGAAAAAAAAATCAGAAATGCTGCTAATATTGCCAAAATATTACCTTGACCTTGAAGGCAAAAGTCATGAGAAGGTACTACGCAACCAAAACAACCAAACTCATCGCCTTCTCTTCTTGCCTTTGCCTTTGCCTAATTGCCCAGAATTCATAGTGTGTTCTTGTTCTTGTAGGAAAAGTCGTACCTTTCCATATTTCTCAGCTTTTTCTTCTTCCATCAGCGCCTTATCCCTTGCCTTCACCTCGTACAGGAAAGAATTATCCTTACGCAGTTCACGAATAGCCCCTTTAGCTTCTTGCTTCAAAAGTTTCTTCATCTTTCTTCTCTCGGCTCGTTCCCGATCTGGATCATAGTCTCTGCCCTTAACAAAGCTGCATAACAAAATATCATTCAGCGGTGACTCCAGCAATACGTTCAAGCAGTACCCAACATAATAACATTATGACAATTGGGTACGGGAGGTAAAGATAAATTACTTCTCCTCAAATTTTGGATTGAGCATTTTGATAGCCACTGAATTTTGCTTCCGCATCTGAAGTGGTTGCCACAGAATGTGATGTTTATCTGCTTTTGTCTTAATCAGTTCAGCAACATCTTTCAGTCTGTCTGTTAATATTTGTGGCATATTCTCCTGTTCTGCCACTTCAAGCAACAAGACTGAAATTGGCAAAAAAATTTCGGGAAAAGAACTGAATCCTTCGTAAATGATGACAAACTCACGTAGAGTTTCAATCACCGTAACCAGCACATTAGCCCTGAAAATTAAAAGTTCCAACTTTTAAAGTCGTAAGACCATATGCAAACTTTACAGTATTGTTATTACACTAATTTAGTGCAACAAAATTCTGAACCTGTGCTTACCAATGCCAATGCGTTCACCAATCTGAAGATCCTCCCATAAAATTTCCCACTCTGCAACTTCCCCTAGTGCGGGATACCTCTCATAGTGACTATCACAACTAGTACACAGGCCACTATTGTATCTGTCCATTGGCTTACTCACTGATTCTTTATACTCGTTCAAAGCTTCGGAGTTCATTAGGGGATTATCAAGAACAGGATTACAAATCTGGGTTGTTTCACTAGTTCCACCAGACACGATTACAAATCCCTCCTCAACAGTATCTAAGAGAAGAGAAAACTTGTTTGTCTCTGATTCATTTCGTTGCTCAGCTAAATCCAAGGAAGATTGTTTCAGCAAGTTATCAAAATTGGCATAGCTCACTTCAGCAGCAGTTTGAGTGGACAGCTCATTGCCTGATAATAATTGGACCAAATAATTATGAATCCCATAATCTACAAGTTTCCCATCTGCATTCATTTGACCAAGCAACTTGTCTTCATGCAGATATTGAGGATTCATATTCGAAAATAAATCTGCAGGAGGTGATGCACCACTTTCCAACAAGACAGCATGTAGTTTTTGTGCAAACTCTGGGTTCTTTGCTGCACTGATGACATACTTTGATACATTTTTCACTTTCCTTTTCTGTGCAGATGTGGCTTTTTCAGTTGTACCCGATGAACTTTCAAATGATTTACGAAGTGATCTAAGGGGAGTCCCCATATCACCGCTAGAACTCTCCATTTGGTTTTCGTCAACAACAATTCTTCTATCATCTTTTGTTTGAATGGTCGCGCAATGATGCTTCTTCTGACCGTAAGCTGCCAGCTCTAGAAACTATGTCAAGATCAGAAGGAACTGCTAACATTACACTGCCCTCAGCTTGAGTCAAACACACATCTTTGGGCATTTCGGTGGCATCTTGAAAGCTCTTTATGGCAAAGAAAGAATTTGGGAGCTGACTAGTAGGCACCTCAGCAGGAATTAGTGTTCCAGGTGCACCCATCAAATCAATAATATACTCACTGCACCGAGTAACAAACCCATTAATCATCATAAATCTAGGACATCTTACGGCCTGCACTAATTCACCTTAGCAAGATGAAAAATGTGCATGAGATTGTAGGAGCAAAGCAGCAAACAAGAGCATGCACCTCTAATTCTAACATCCATTACTTAAACATGATAGTAAATTCAAATCCAATAGCTTAAAACTAGAGGTACATCCAAAATGAAAAGAACTGCAGAGATATCGCAATGACATATGAATTTATCTTTTCAACGGGGACCAAAAAAAAAAAACATAATTACTCTTAATCCAAGACTCCAAGAAACTTCATTAAGCAACATGTCTTGCAGAAATAACATCAGCTGTTTCAAGAGCTGTTCAAAAAACAGAGAAAAATTGGTGTATGTTGAACTATATTTGTCATACTATAATTGGGTTCCTGTGTCTTAAGGGAACAACCAAGCACCTCCAGTTTGTGGACAAACACATTGGGCATTGGGCAGCCCCAGAAAAACCATTCAGACACAAGGACACTGCTAACACGTGTTTGAACATGATTTTCATGTTTGATTCACATGCCAAGCAAGTCACATAAAAAAACAACCTAGATACTAGTAAATAGGTCTGGGCCTCTTGGTGTTAATAAATTTTGAACTATAAAAGAGTATTGCCTGCCTGTTCATTCAACGCTGATTATGGAAATGGTTCAATAAATAGACATCTAACTACCTGTTATCACAAAGCACGGAGCCAAGACAACTTGAGTTTGTAAGAGAACACAAAATTCTCAGATGAATAAGCAGAAATGAAAGAATATAACTGAACCATCAAGGGAACCTACAATCAGAACATGTCGTAATCCAAGACTTGGATTCCAATCCTTTTTCAAGGTGTTGACACAAATCTCACCGTTGTTTGGATGGAAAATCTTCGTCAGGAAGTAGCCTACAACAATTATTTTCCAGAAATTATAATCCAAATAGGGACTAAAAGAGTTCTACCATATATAGGCCTTTCATCAACAAAAACATCTTCAGTTGTCTACGATCACGCATTCCAAACAGAACGAGGGAACATAAATATAACATGTCCACTTAAATGATAGTGTTATCAATTACATCATTTATGATCATAACAAACAAACCTTTAGGAGGAGAGTGTGGAAAGTCCCTGGACAATAACAACTTCATGCGGAAAACACCATTCTCATAAGGAGTGCCAACTGCAAGGCCAAGATCGTAGCTCAGTAAATATCTCAAAAATATTCAAACGATAGGAGCGAAAGACTAAATTACAGCTTATGCCAAAAAATAAACATGCCTGGCCCTTCAATATCAGCATATATGATTGAAAATCATCATCGTTAATCCTAACTTGAATGCCTTCAGTTCCAAAAAGCACAAAAGCTAGATCAGAACGAATCAACTGATGTGACACAAAAGGAAGACACAAGAAAAGTGCCAATGACGAAAAACATTGAATATGCCCAGTTCAATTGCACTATGGTTGGATTTTGAATCGCTCCCACATTGAAGCGCATGCATTGCCACATCCCTCAACACAATATTGTACCTTTCGCGATAATACTATACTACTAAATTTCTACTTTGATCTTCTAGAGTGAACCTAAAACGCAAACATGGATGATAAGTTATGAACATTATGTTGCCATGGAACACCGTCATAACCCAATTTCATTTTGTTTTCATTTTTACTCTTTATGATGTATGATATTGCAAATTCAATCAAAATAGTTAAACGAAAGTAGATAATGAGCGTGAAAATTCCTGTTCTACATTTCAAGCGAATCAAGTGCCATAACAACGTATATACATATAAACAAGATATAAGTATAAATGTAACGTAAAGATTATAAGACTCACATCAGCTTGCCAGGGGTTCCACCGAGACCCCTGTGATTGTATAAGACCTATCCTCAGGATGAGAAAGTGCTACCTTCACCCCCTTTAAGGCCTTTTTAACTTGTAAGTAACCGAATGCCAATCAGTTTCCAGGACAAATATCTTTAAAAGTAACCATTTGTGAACAAACATAAGTAAATACATAGAACTCTGAATAATTTAGCCTATGTGGACATATACACCTGATCCAAATGAAGTGAATCCAAAATGAACAGGTCAATTCATAATAAAAGCAAATGATTACATGCTAAAACAAAATGCAGCTTCAAAACCGAATAAGCATGAATACTAGCATTGTATTTTATTTATATAGCTTAACTTTTAGATAAGTTGTCTATCAAAACTGCATGAAACAAATCGAAGTAAAAATGGAGAATAACTTCAAACGATCACGATCAAATTCTTCCCATGCCTTTTTTTAGTTTGACTTTGCCTCTCCTCAATCTCCTGGTTTTTCCTTTACAAGTTTATATTAATCTTCATCTGAACTACAATAATAACTCTCGCTATCCTCACTACTATCATTTTCGGATTTCCATTCATCCTCATCTTCATTTGCCTATTCCGGTGCATTGTATCGTGGCAGATCACCAAGATCAATTGAAAATTGACTCTATTGGTATTTCGAATTCGGGAACTCCAGCTACTTCAAACGGTTCTTGGACAACATTAGTATCTCGGAGTGTTTCTTCACCAATTTTTATCAAAGATGATAACTGTTGGTCAGTGATGTTGTCGTCGTTGTCATCTTGATTTAGTTCCGGAATATCATATAGCCCTCTTCGATCAATCTTCTAAACAACTTTCCAACCATTGCCGGCTTTAGAGTCGTCTAGAAAGAATATTTGTTTCGCCATAGTTGCCAAAATGTATGGGTCTTCATCGTACCAACGTCTGGTAGTGTTTACTGATAGTAAACCATGGTCTCGCTTAACACTCGTTCGGTTATGTGGGTTTGTATCAAACCAAAGACACTTAAACAGTATCACTTGACACCTGTCTTTGTAAAGCAATTGTACTACACTAGTTAGTTTACCATAAAAATCAATGTCTTTACTGTCGCCCACACCCGGGACGTGGACACCACTATTTTGAGTAGACGACTTGTCATCACGTGTTGCCCCCAAGAACTTGATCCCGTTGACATGACAACCTGAGAACAATTCAACGTGAAGTGGTCCTCTTGCCAAGTTATATAATTCTTCATCGTAAGAGGGTGAATTCAATTCCTTCAATTTGTTCATCTAATATAACATATACAAAAAGTTAACTTGTTAGTGTAACCAAATTTGAAGACGGGCATGAACAAGTTGGAAAATATGCTGAATTCAAAACACATACAACTTACATGTTCGTGAAACCACGAAGGAAACAATTCACGGTGCTTCTTGGCATATAAATGTGAAGGATGTTCCCGCTTCATCAACCGTTCATGCTCTTCAAGGTATGGCAAAATCTCATCACAATTGTTGAGTATGAACCAATGCGCTACCTCCATGTCCTTTTTGGTAAACGATTCGCCTTTTACAGGCTCGCCGAATGGTCGCGCAATTTGGGCAAAAACATATAGTTTCTCTTTTCTGACACCACCGTCATTATTGCGTTAAGGACGATTGAAAGCTGTCTCAACATCTTGAAGATACATTGCACAAAAAGTAAGTGACTCATATGCGACCCATGCCTCCACAAGTGATCCTTCGGGCTTTGCCCTATTTCGGACACACTTTTTCAACTC